AGCGCCATCTGTCGCTACAGGGGGTGGGGGCGCTGGTGCTCACATCCGGTGTCTCAGTCCGGGCCATGCGGGAGGCTTCCAGAAGTGCACCTGTGCACCCAGCACCTTGAACGGCTGCCCCCACGGTGCGCACAGTGGAGGGCGAGCTGGACCCCTCACGTACGGGGCACCAGGGGCTGGCTGGAAGGGCCCCTTCCCACCCCACATCCCGGTCTGCACTTCTAGGTTGGTTTCTTTCAAAGGCAGATGTGGGAAAAGTGCTCTTCAGTCTTAGCCCGGGCTTGTGTGCGAGTCGGTCTGGCGTCTCTAGGAGAGAGGCTGTTTTACACTTTCCTACAGCCTGTCTTCCTTAATGGCTCACCCTCGGCTTTGGAACAATGCCAAGGGCAGTGCCTAGAGTGGTGCCCACAAAAGCACCCTGGCTTATAACAGGAGCTCAATAAATCGGTGTCGGATGAATAAAGTGTTCACAGTGCTAAGTGCATGAATAAACAAATCAATGAGGCACGGCAAGCTGGGATCCCCCAGAAGCCCACTGGAAGCAGCTGGTTGGCTCCCCCCGGGGGTGCACCGACAGTGCCACGCCCCCAGGGCTGCTCTGAGGATTTGCAGGGCTGGATGTTGGGGTGCGTCACCCACATCCACAGCAAACAGGAGGCAGAGTCCCAGCAGAGCGTACGTCACTGTCTCAGGCGAGAGGCAGCCTGGGGCCTGCAGTGCGTGGTGACCATGGTGGCCTTGGCACTGGACTCCCACAGGTGGCGGCCGCTGCTCCCCTTCTGCTCTGCGCTCATTGGCTTGGGGTAAGGGAGACCTGTGTCTTATGGCTGCAGGCTTTTTTTTTTAATTATTATTACTTCCAATTCCCAGGTTCCACGGCTGCTTTCACGAAGCCATGCTAACCCCAGGGGGTAGGAACAAGCATCACCCCCAACTCGAGACACAGCCCCCGGACTCTCATGCTGGGCAGAGGCTGCTGGGACAGGCAGAGCTGCCCAGCATCCATGCCCTCGGCGTGGCGGGGAGGGGCAGGCACAGCCGTTACACAGAGCACCGTCCCTCTTCCCCAGGGCAGCCGCTCTGGGAGGCTGCGGATGGACACACGGAGGGCGGAGGCACAGGTGTGTGGTGTGTGGCTAGAAGGCGGGGAAGGGAGCCTCGCTCTGACACAGAAGGGGACTCACAGGGCTGGATCAGGCTTCGGATCGAGGGAGACGGAAATGTACAGAGCCCTACTCCCTTCCTGTTCATGGTTTGCCCCGCAAAAGCCAACGGAGCTCACGGGCGGTGCTCCTTTTGGTGGGGCAGGGCGGTAGATGCGGTGAGGGACAGGCAGAGGGGAGCTCACAGCTCTGCTGCCGTCTCTGCTCCGCCGCCTGAAAGCTGTGTGCTGGGGGGAAGTTGCTCGGCTTCTCTGAACCTCACTGCTGAGTCTGGAAAACGAGGGCAGCGATCATGCACTCCGCGGGTGTGTGTGTGTGTGTGTGTGTAAGCATTCAGTGAGAGCACTCCACACAGCTGCTAAAAGAAACACATCAACACCCATCGTCTGTGGCTGGCACGGTGGTGCGGCAGGGTAGGCCACCATCTGCAATGCCAGCATCCCACATGGGTTAGAGTCCCGGCTGCTCCACTTCTGATCCAGCTCCCTGCTAATGTGCCTGGGAAAGCAGTGGAAGATGGTCCAAGTGCTTGGGCCCCTGCACCTACGTGGGAGACCTGGAGGAAGCTCCTGGCTCCTCGCTTTGGAGTTGCAGCCATTTGGAGAGTGAATTGGGGGATAGAAGATCTCTTTTTCTTTCTCCCTGTAACCCTGCCTTTCAAACAAATCAATAAATCTTTAAAAAAATGGTTCATTTTGTGCGAATTTTCCTTCAAAAACAATAAAAAAAAAAACCAGTGCACTAATGAGACAAACAGGCGACACATGACACACTCCAGTACCCTGTCAGCACTCCTCAAAGCTGTGGCAGCCACAGGAGAGCAGGGGACGGGTGAGAAAAGGCCCAGCCGGGACTCACCATAGCAAGGTCTCCCGGGTGAGATCCCGGCACAGAAAAAAACAGGCGAAACCGAGGAAATCCGGGAGAGCCATGAGCGTTAGCTGAAAGCAGTGTGTCAGGACTGCTCATGAACGCTGGCCAATGCACTGCACTGTGTAAGACGTCAATGATGCGCAAACTGGGGGCAGAACCTAGGGGAACAGCCAGTCCTCAAAAGTAAAGTCTTTTTTTTTTGGCAGAGTGGACAGTGAGAGAAAGAGACAGAGAGAGAGAGACAGAGAGAAAGGTCTTCCTTCCATTGGTTCACCCTCCACTGGCCGCCGCAGCTGGCGCGTTGTGGCCGGCGCACCGCGCTGATCTGAAGGCAGGAGCCAGGTGCTTCTCCTGGTCTCCCATGGGGTGCAGGGCCCAAGCACTTGGGCCATCCTCCACTGCACTCCCTGGCCACAGCAGAGAGCTGGCCTGGAAGAGGGGCAACCGGGACAGAATCCAGTGTCCCGACCGGGACTAGAACCCTGTGTGCTGGTGCCTCAAGGCGGAGGATTAGCCTAGTGAGCCGCGGCGCGGGCCTTAAAGTCTGTTTTTAAAAATCCCCTGGTTAGCGCTGACCTTTCTCTCTTTTTTTTTTAGCACTTATTCATTGGGAGAGAAAACTGGTAGATTCTGACTACGACTTCTGACTCATCTCTTGTGGCTGTGGGTTTTGGGTGAATTCAGATTGCAAAGATTCACCGTGCTTGGAGCCGGCCCCGGGCTCTGCGGTGACCCTGGCAGTGCCAGGGTGTGGTGAGATCGCAGCCCAGTCTTCAAAACCTTCAGAAAGTTCTTCTTGGGTTCTGTTCCAGGATGTGCAATGCGGGGGTGAGCTTGGGACTTAACATGGGTCCATTCACAGAATCGGGTGGGGGGCGGCATTGTGGTGCCGCAGGTAGAGCCGCTGCCTGCGACGCCAGCATCCCATAGGGGTGCCAATTTTTGTTTTGGCTCCCTGCTAATGGTCTGGGAAAAGCAGCAGGGGGACGGCCCAGGTATTTGGGTCCCTACCACCCACCTGGGAGACCTGGATGAAGCTCCTGGCTCCTAGCTTAGTGTGGCTGGGCACTGGCCATTGTGGCCATCTGGGGAGTGAACCAGAGGATGTAGGACGCCCCCTGCCCCCCGCCACCATCACTAACTCTGGCTTTCCAAAAGAAAAAGAATCGGGGCTGCTGCTCCAGCTCTGTCCCCACTGGAATGTCCACCACACTCTAGCCACCAAGATCCCCTTCCCATGGCTCCTGGGGCCAGAAAGAGAGCTTTCGCCTTGGGTTTTAGGTGCCTATGCGGTGGAGATAGAAGCAGTCTTGCCTTGCGGCTAAGCCTTGGGGCAGAGCCGGAAAAGAAAGACAAGAAGGAAAGAAAGAGGAAAGAGGAAAAGGGGAGACGGCTCCCACACTCTCAGACGCACAGAGACCCCTTTTCCTGGTTGTCTGGCCAGGGGGAGCGCGTTACACATGGGAGTTTGCTGTCCGCACCCCGTGTGTACATCTGAGTCTTGGATTTACCCTTGGGTCAAAGCTGTGAGATTTAAAACACAAAGATTTTCAACACAAAACAAGCAAACTCTTGGCGTATCAATCGTTTATCAAGATTCAGTTTGTCCAAATGGCCTGCTCTCCTTTGCCTTTCGGGTCCTCACGTAGTGCAGTTGCTTTTTGTGTTCTGCCCCGAGTTCACAGCTGGGATTAGTGAGAGAGACTGAGGCTCAGAAGGGCTTGCCCCGTTGTAGCTGGCACCTGAAATTCAAGGTCAGCCTTCAGCCATCCCTGCTTTGCAACACCTGCTGGGCCCCCGGCCCCTTCCTCCCCCATGTTAGTCTCCAATGTGGTCAGCCGCTCTGCCCGACTCTTCTGCTGACCTCCTGGAGCTCTCCAACCTCCTCCCTCTGCTGTGGCAGCTCCTCCGTCTGACTGCCCAGTGAGCAGACCCCTCTCTCTGTCCCTCAGACCACCCACGCCTGTGAATAGGCAGAGAGCCTCACGCGTGGGCGCTGCTGCACTCCGTGGCTGCTCACCGTGTTGGGGTCCTGGCCGGATCTGCCTGGTCTTCAATTTTCCGGAACACTGTGGCTGGACCGAGTCCCGCTTAGAGGTCATCGAAGACGAGACAGAGCTCAGAGCTAAGGGAACTAACTCTGATGCAGGTGCGGCCCTACGCCAGGTCAGCTGGAGACCAACACCCAGTGTTGCCTTCCGAGGTGGCACAAGGGACTGGGGTGGCACAGGGGACAGAGGTCACAGGGGACAGAGGCAGGGGCAGGCGTTGGCCGGGACTCTCCCCAGCAGTGTCCCACCAGAGAGCACTGATGGGGACCTAGGATTAGACTCCACGTCGCTTCATTTCTGATCTCTCAGTGGGGGCCAAATTCATCCTCAGAAGGAATGAATCTCTCTCTCTCTCTCTTTCTTTCTTTCTTTCTTTCTTTCTTTCTTTCTTTCTCTCTTTCTTTCTTTCTTTCTCTTTCTTTCTTTCTTTCTTTCTTTCTCTCTCTCTCTCTCTCTCTCTCTCTCTCTCTCTTTCTTTCTTTCTTTCTTTCTTTCTTTCTTTCTTTCTTTCTTTCTTTCTTTCTTTCTTTCTTTCTTTCTTTTCTTTCGCAGTAGTTCAAAGTGATCCAGAAAGGAGCTCTCTCTCCAACGAGATGAGTTTCCAAGTTGGTGAAGCTGGCGTTGATTTCAAATGGGACGAGAGTGTGGAGGAGACTGGGGCGGGGGGGGCTGCGTGTTAAATGACCTCAGAAAACGGTTCATGAAGATTCCAGTGCTTGGAGGTGGGGCAGGACTGCCTCCCCAGGGAACCCTGGAAGGGACAGCCCCGTGCCGCCTGCTCCGTGTGAAGTCAGAACCCGTCCATCAGTTCCCAGCCACTCGGCTTGCTGCCTGGCTTCCTGGACGTGACTGGAATTCTCACTCCTTGGAAACAGCCTCAGGAGGACGGCCCGTGAGTCAGGGGTGGGTTGCAAGTGACAAAGCTCTGGAAAACAGAGCCTGAAACCAGCCAAGAGTTTTTCTTTGCCTACCATAGCTGCAAAGGTTGCTGGGAAATCTATTTTTCAGCCACGTTCTCGTTGTCCTCAACTCCAAGTGAAGATTTCTTTCGTTCTCCGAAGGGGAGAATGGATCTCGAATTGTCAGGCCTTTGCCGTCTCTCATTTCCGATAACTGAAACTTGAACCTAAGTCTCTGGATGTGCTGGGGTCCTGGGGACCAGGACTGCTGGGTGCCCTGAGATCGCCGTTCCCTAAGGTCCCAGGAAACCACGGAGTGCGGGAACGTTCCTGCCGCTGCTCCCTGGCTCCCGGTCACCGCTGGACACGCTGCCAATTCAAGTTGCATTCGAGATTTTGTTGGCCTCAGCCATCCATGCAAATTAGCAATTCAGCTCCCTTTCTCAGGTCATTAATATTCACATGAGTTCCTGTTGTGTGAGAACTTGGACCACTACATGATTTAGAAAGAGCTCCACGAGGCTGAAGGAAAGCCAGAGTGTCCGCTGACAGTGAGTTATTCACAACGGATTGTTTATGCCTGCTTCTCTCCTAGAACTAAATCATCATCCACCCGCCCTTCCACTCCCCTGTCAGTTAGCGCCTGCTGGGAACCAGGTCTGGCACTAGACACTAGGAACTGGCAGGTGGGTGAGAAGCGTGGTCTTCCGAGAGCCTCGAAGTCTGTGACATCGGCAGAGAGCTGTGCCTGGTACCTAGGGGTCAACGGGGAGGTGCTTCTGTGTGCAGAACCTGCACCTGATCCTTCTGTTAGTCAAGGTAAGTAATTTGGCTTGCATCTGCCCCTCCACTCTTTAATTTGTTGAGAGAGAGAGAGAGGGAGAGAGAGAGAGAATTTCTCTACCATATAAAAGCCCTGACCCAAGCTGAGGCGTGCACGTTCACATGCTGAGAGTAAGCACAGGGAAAGAAAACAGCCAGTCTTAGAAAGAATCCTGCCCTGTTTGGATTAGGCTTGGATTTCATTTTCGCTTTACACTTTTCTTTGTTCTTTCTCCAGTTTCTCTGTTGTCTTCTGGGTTGCTTCAGGCCCGCACAGTGGAATTTGTATCCAAACATCCTCACTGGGTCGACGAGGCGACCCCACAGGGACATAAAGGAGTGTGTTTAAGGCCTGGGAGGGTGAGGTGGCCGGAGGACCCAGGAGGCTGGGCGCATTGCAGGAGCTCTGGGGAAGGCATGGTGTCTGTGTGTGCGTGTGTGTATGCACACGTGTGCGTGTATGTGTGTGCGCACACGTGTATGTGTGTGCACACATGTGTGTATGTGTGCACGCATGCGTGTGTGTATGTGTGCATGTATGTGTGTATGTGAGTTTGTGTGTGTGTATGTGTGCGAGTGTGTGCACGTGTGTGCATGTGTGTGTCTATGTATGTGTGTGCGTGTTAGTGTGTATGCACACATGTGCATGTATGTGTGTATGCACGTGCATGTGTGTGCACACATGTGCATGTGTGTGCATGTGTGTCTATGTATGTGTGTATGTGTGTATGTATGTGTGTGCGTGTGTGTCAATGTATGTGTGTGAGTGTGTGTGTGAAGGTGGGAGGAGAATCTTGCATTTATCTTTCTCTTTCATGACTTCAGCATCTAACCCTACACTCACACGAGAAGTTCTAGGAGCAGAATTTGGTGGCAATCGGGGAGCAACACGGTGATAAATGGCACCAACGCTGTGCTCCCTCCTGTGTGGGAAGAAGGCTCTCGTGGATTGTTGATGTTTTCCTTCTATAGGGCACTAACGGGGCTGAAAAACTAATCTTCCTGTGGCTCAGGAAGTGGAGGCCAACTCTGTGTGAAGCAAGAGGAACAGGGACCGGGGTCGGGGGACCAGCGACCAAGGCTGGTATTTGTAGGCATTTTCCTGTGGGCCAGGCGCGGTTTTGAGAACCTTGCACACGTGAACTTGTGACTCCTCCCAGCAGCCCTGTTCACGGAGGCCTGGAGCAGATGAACTCGACGGTCTCTCCTTGCAGCCCTGCCTGGGCCAAAGCCGCCTTTACCGTCCCGCCCCCTGCCCCCTCCCTGTGAAGTGAAAACCACAGCTCCCGTTAAACCCCAGCCAGGAACCGGGCTGGCCCAAAAGAGCCAACATGGCTGCCGCCTGCACTGCGGTGTTGACCTTTAGTGAATTCCAAGGTCGTTACAGAACCACTGCTGTGGCTCACATCCTAGTCCCATCATGCACCTGACACGGTGGTACTGAATTCTAGAGTTTGGTAAAGTTTGTATGAGAGATGACTGGAGTTATGTATCTATGCCTGTGATCAGACAGCAAGGGGAGGATGGGGTGGACGTGAGCTGCAGAGGCAGGGTGGGGCCAGAGGGCCTCTAAGCAGGTGAAAGATCCCAGTCTTTTAAAAATAATTTCAAAAAGTATCAATTTATTTTTTTGACAGGCAGAGTTAGACAGTGAGAGAGAGAGAGATGGAGAGAAAGGTCTTCCTTCCATTGGTTCACCCCCCAAATGGCTGCTATGGCCGGCGCGCTGCGCCGATCCGAAGGCAGGAGCCAGGTGCTTTCTCCTGGTTGGTCTCCCATGCGGGTGCAGGGCCCAAGCACTTGGGCCATCCTCCACTGCACTCCTGGGCCACAGCAGAGAGCTGGCCTGGAAGAGGAGCAACCAACAGAATCCGATGCCCCAACTGGGACTAGAACCCGGGGTGCTGGCGCTGCAGGGGAGGATTAGCCTAGTGAGCTGTGGCGCTGGCCATATCAATTTATTTATTTAAGATTTTATGTATTTATTTGAGAGGTAGAGTTACAGGCAGAGAGAGGGAGAGAAAGAGAGAAAGTTCTTCCTTCCATTTGTTCACCCCCCGGACGGGCGCAACGGCTGGAGCCAGGAGCTTCTTCCAGGTCTCCCACGCAGGTGCAGGGGCCCAAGCACCTGAGCCATCTTCTATTGCCACAGCAGAGAGCTGGATCAGAAGGGGAGCAGCCGGGACTTGAACCAGTGCCCATATAGGATGCTGGTGCCACAGACGGAGACTTAGCCTACTACACCACAGCACCGGGCCTTCAATTTATTTTTATTTATTTGAAATGCAGAGAAACAGAAAGACAGATGGGCACATGTAGAGAAAAAGAGACCTTCCACCTGCTGGCTCACTGCCTACATGCCCGGAACAGCTGGGGCTGGGCCAGGCAGACACCGGGAACCGTAACTGCATCCAGGTCTCCTCTGGGGGCGGCAGGGAACCAGCGTCTTGCGTCAGCAGCCCCACCCCCAGGGTGCTCAATGGCAGGAAGCACTGACACGAGGCATCGTTGGTTTCTTCTCACGAGACTCCGGTTTTCTCACAGAACGAGAGAGGGAAGCATGACCTGTGGTCACCCCTGCCGCACCCCGATCTCCGTTCCCACCCCCCCCCCGTGGGTTACAGTGTCACGTGTTCTGCCAGAGAGAAAGGAGGAAGGAGTGGGCACCAGGAGACCGGCTCGAAGGCGCTCCCAGCACTGTTCTCCGCCCGGCACGAGGACGGGCAGTGGGCCATCGTTCTGCTCCTGGGAGGGCGCTGATGGCCACCCGTGCCTGGGCCCGTGCTGTGGGCTGGGCGCAGGTTGGCCTCCCCCGAGTGCAGAAGAATCAGATAGGTCTGTCGTCTGGCTAAGCTCAGCCACTGTGGAGGGCGCTGTTCCTCTGCACACAGCTTGTAAGCGCGGCCCATTTTCCAGCCTCAACATTCCTCTCCCAGCGGCTGGTCCGGGCACTACGTCTGTGGAAACTGACCTTTCCGGTGTGAGCGATTCTGAGCGGGGGCGCTGGCGTGGTGCTCCCAAGCGCCCCCCACCCGCACTCCCGCTCCCCGGGCAGCACTGCCCTCTCCCAGCCAGCAGCCACGCGGGGCCTTCTGCCAATGCACGTCACCAAGCGGAAGACACGGCCACCCCTTCCATCTTGCAATGCTTCGGCGAGGGTCTTGCTGGCCCGGGCAGGGGCCCAACCACGCTGGCAGATCCCCAGTGCCTGTGCTGGCCCAGGTGTGCGTGCAGCTCTGCTGGAGTTCCTGGAGTAGTCCCCACGCTGCTCTCGTGGTCCCCACGCCGCTCTCGTGGCCCACAGCCCTCGCCCTGATCCGCCTCTTCTCACCTGCTGCATCCGGCTTTGGCCGTGAGCTCCCCGCGGTCGGACCTCCTCTCCCGGACTTCGGCTTGCCTGGCTGGGCTCTGGCTGTCTCGTGTGTGCCAGTTCCACTGGAGGCAGCATCTTGTTCCTGCTGGGAATAGAAGCTTCTCGTCTCCCATGCTACCCACACGCACTGCACCCTGCCGTCCGCTGGTCAGGGCCTTCCCCCCAGCCTGCGGGGGAGTCAGCACCTTTTGGGGCATAAGGGATTGCCCGGGCTCTCCTTGTCGCAGGGTGTGGCATTATATGCCACGGGTCCTCACACAGCACGCACCAGAAGCCCCTGGAGGGCAGAGAGAGTTCTCGACTCTTCAGGGGGAGGAGCTGCGTCTCTGGCAAGTCCCACAGTGGTGCTGCTGGGATCTTTGTGGGTGTTTGTGACACAAGCGGACAGGCCCTGTCTGGAGGGGAGAGGGCTGGCCGTACCCTCTGTGACCTGTAGTTGGAGCGTAAAGACCTGTCAGCAGACACAACAGGTGTGTTCGCCTGGGGAACTACCAGATAATCAGCCTCCGGTGGGAGTGCTCGGAGGAAGGCTTTCTAATTACCGTGATGGGTACAGGGGATGTTTGCGGAGCTACAGTTGCCACAGCAACGGCCTTGGGCCTGCGTTGTGGCTCAGCAGGTTAGATGCCGCTTGCAGTGCTGGTTGCTGTGTGAGAGCGCCGGTTCGAGTCCCCACTGCTCCACTTCTGATCCAGCTCCAAGCTGATGTGCCCGGGAAAGCAGCAGAGGATGGCCCTAGATGCACCCATGTGGGAGATCCAGCGGGAATTCCCGGCTCCTGGCTTTGGCTTAACCCAACCCCAGCCACTGCGGCCATCTGGGAAGTGAACCAGCACGTGGAAGATCTCTGTCTCCCTCTGTCTCTGTGTCACTCTGGCTTTCAAATCAATAGACCGATACATCTTGCCTCAATAGATCAGTACATCTTGCCTCCTTCCGGCAACACCTAACTCCATGTATCTCATGTTCATAACTCCCCCTCGGACAGGCCTCGTGCAGTTTCCTTGCCTGTGATTGGCCCCTCTGAGTTCAATGCTGCAAGGTGAGCTCCCGGAAGACCCCGTGGGGAGCCAGCTCCTGTGAGTGAACCTTGCCAGGTCTCTGCCCCCGCCCCTGAGCCCCTCTCTTGCTCAAATCCCACACTCTTGGCTACAGACCCGTGGCCTGCCTTGGGCCCCAGAGCGGCCAGCCAAGGACCTGGCCACGGTGGCGGGCAGCGGGCTGCTACCTGGAGGAGGCTCATTTGGTCAGCTTGAAATCAAAGCCACCACTAGCACGCAGCTGGACCCGAGAGAAAGCAAGAGTGAAAGCAAGAGAGAGAGAGAGACAGAGAGAGACAGGCAGACAGACAGGGAGAGCGAGAGCGAGAGAGACAGAGCAAGAGCGAGAGAGAGAGAGAGAGGAGAATGCACTTGGACTTTGGATGCAAACACAGCTTGCTCAGAATCCTGTCTCCACGACATGAGTTTGCTCACCTGTCTGGAGCCGCAGAGCAGGACACAAGCTTCCGCCGCACCAGGCTGTGCTGGGGCTCCGATGAGACGCGCCCAGCCCCTGGCACAGCCTGGCAATGCGTGCAGAGCTGGAGGCCTTGCACGCCGGGGTTTCCTCCCAGCTGCTCCGTGCCCCACACACTGTCCATCAGGAGCTGTCTACAGGTTATGGGCAGAAGCAGCACCCTGAGAGGCAGCACCCCCATAGGGCGGGAGCAAAGGAGAGAGGAGGGGGAGGGGAGCTGTGTGTTTACTGCCTACTCTCTGACGAGGCGACTTGTTCCCATTTTACAGCTGGGGTAACTGAGGTCACGGCAGCGCTGTAGAGAGAAGCCCAGCTCTTGGATGTGCTCCAACCCCTGCTTTTAGAGGTGAGAAAACCAGAGGGGCTGCGTGACTTCCTTCAAGACGCACAGCTGGCTCAGCAGGACAAGGAAGCCAGGCCTCGGTTGCTAAGCCCTGGGCTCGCCTCGCCGTATGATGGTGCTCTTAGGTTTGTCCTCTGAGGCCACCTCGTGTGCAACAGACATGTGACAGCTTTGCTCTGGGCAGCTCCAACCCAGCACAGCCGGAGAAGGGATCTTGGGATCCTAATGGACACAGACAGGGGCCCTGGGCTTGGTTTCCGGGCTGGCTAAGCCGCCCTCCCCTCCTCTGCTCCCTGTCTCCTATCCCAGCTGATAACGCTCCTGGGTCAGCCCATTGTTCGTGACAGCAGGTAAGCCAGGTGTAAGCCTGTGTAAACGTTTGCCTGTTTTATTTTTATACACGCGGGCAGGAAGGAGTCTGAGCTAGTTAAACACTGTCACATTCTAGGTCCAATGTCTTCTCCGTCTGAAGTTCACGGCACACACAGGCACGGAGCGCCTGCTCTGGGGCAGGTGCGGGTGCAGGTCCCCGGTGCACCTGTGAGTAGAGCGCTGATGCCTGTCAACTTCACGGTGCAGTAGGGACCTCGACAAAAAGCAGCAGGCGGTGAGTAAGTGCACCTTCAAAAGGATTGTGTTCCCTTATTGGAAAGGCAGAACGAGAGATAGAGAAAGTTGCCATTTGCTGGTTCGCTCCCCAAATGGCTACAACAGCCAGGGCAGGGCCAGGCCAAAGCCAGGAGCCTGGCATTCAATCTGGGTCTTCCTGGGCCGTCCTCTGCTGCTTTCCCAGGTGCGTTAGCAGGGAGCTGGCTCAGAAGCGGAACAGCAAGGAATTGAACCGGCGCCCATATGGGATGCCGGCATCGCAGGCAGTGGCTTTGCCCACTGCGCCACAGCGCCAGGTCCTATAAGCACAATTTGAAGACAATAAACACCAGAGAAAGAGGAGAATAGGGAGGTTAGGAGACTTGCAGAAGGCTGTGTTCAAAATGTTCATGAAAAATGCCTAGTATGACAAAATTATGCATGGATTTCAATTTTTTTGCACCAAAATAAAGTTATCTTTTAATTCTATTCCATGAACTTTTTGAAGTATCCTCACATTTGGGTGTGTGGGTAAGTGTGCATGTGTGTGTGTTTCTGTGTGCACAAGCACTTTCTTTTTTTTTTTTTTTTTTTATTTATTTTTGACAGGCAGAGTGGACAGTGAGAGAGAGAGACAGAGAGAAAGGTCTTCCTTTGCCGTTGGTTCACCCTCCAATGGCCGCCGCGGCCAGCGCGCTGCGGCCGGCGTACCGCGCTGATCCGATGGCAGGAGCCAGGAGCCAGGTGCTTCTCCTGGTCTCCCATGGGGTGCAGGGCCCAAGCACCTGGGCCATCCTCCACTGCACTCCCTGGCCACAGCAGAGGGCTGGCCTGGAAGAGGGGCAGCCGGGACAGAATCCGGCGCCCCGACCGGGACTAGAACCCGGTGTGCCGGCGCCGCAAGGCGGAGGATTAGCCTAGTGAGCCGCGGCGCCGGCCGGCACTTTCAAGCGTGGTTTATTTGAAAGGTGGAGTTACAGAGAGAGAGAAAGGGAGGGAGGGAGGGAGAGAGAGAGAGAGAGAGAAGGACAGAGGGGTCTTCCACCCACTGGTTCACTCCCCAGATGGGCACAACAGTCACTGCTGGACCAGGCCAAAACCAGGAGCCTGGAGCTCCATCGGGGCCCCCCACGCGGGTGCAGGGGCCCGAGCACCCAGGCCATCCTCTGCTGCTCTCCCCGGCGCATTAGCAAGGGGCTGGATCGGAGGTGCAGCCGCTGAGTCGAGCCGTGCTCACATGGGATGCTGGCCTGGCCGGTGGTGGATCGCTCCACTGTGCTACAACACTGCCCTGACAAGAACTTATAAACCAGGTGCTAAGTGAGAAAGGCCAGACATAGAACTGCAAATACCGTGTTTCTCTGAACTGTGGAAGTTAATATATATGTAGTAACAAGTGTGTAGATGCCATATTATTTGGTCTATAGATCATTTATAAATGCTGTCTTACTAATTATAAGCTTTACAAAATAATATGTTCTTCCCCTCATTTTATGATCTGTCATGAGTTCCACAGTATGTGATCCTCTGCTTTCAAGAAATAATATTGTGTGTACGTGTAGATTGACATAGAAAGCTAATATGGCGAAATGTTAAAAACTGTGACATCTATGTGTGCTCACTCTACTTTTCTGTGTTATTTGAAATATTTCAAAATAAAAAGATAAAAATAGGAATAAAAACAGAGGATAAAGAAGAGGGTAACCGCCACCTGCAGCACCAGCATCCCACGTGGGCACCAGTTCGTGTCCCGGCTGCTCCACTTCCAATCCAGCTCCCTGCTAAGGCCTGGGAAAAGCAGCAGAAATTGGCCAAGTGCTTGGACCCTGCACCCACATGGGAGACCTGGGGGAAGCTCCTGGCTCCTGGCTTCAGCCTGGCCCAGCCCCGCTCGCGGCAGCAGTCTGGGGAGTGAGCCAGTGGCTGGAAGAGCTCCCTCTTTCTCTCGTCTCTCCGCCTCTCTGTAACTCACTTTCATATAAATGAAATAAACATTTAAAAAAGAAAAATATAAACAAGTCCAGAAGGTGCTAGAACAGGCCTTCCTGGGAGGCGATATTTGGGCAGGGACTGGGAGGGGGCAGGTGAGCGTCTGGGCTCTGAGCTGAGAGGCGAGCAGGCTGCTTCTGCAGGGATTCCAGTTCTGCTCCACACGTGCACGGGAGCTTCTGGAGCAGCAGTGCTGCACAGCATAGAGGCATCTAGAAACCCTCCTGTCTTCCTGGGAGTCTTGGCTGAGGCACGTCAGCCGCGGTATCGAATGGGATTTGGAACCATGTTTGCCTTCCCGAGGGGGCCTGAGCCGGGGCTGGGGAGTGACTTTGGACGTCTGCGTCACGTGATCGCGGGTGACCTCCATCTCCAGGAGGGCAGAGCAGGCTCAGCACCTGCAGGGCTGGCTGTGGGCTGCGGCGGACCCCCCGCACCTGCAGGGCCGGCTGTGGGCTGCGGCGGACTCCCTACACCTGCAGGGCCAGCTGTGGGCTGCGGTGGACTCCCTGCACCTGCAGGGCTGGCTGTGGGCTGCGGTGGACTCCCCGCACCTGCAGGGCTGGCTGTGGGCTGCGGAGGACTCCCCACACCTGCAGGGCCGGCTGTGGGCTGCAGCTGACTCCCTGCACCTGCAGGGCCGGCTGTGGGCTGTGGCGGACTCCCTGCACCTGCAGGGCCGGCTGTGGGCTGCGGCGGACTCCCTACACCTGCAGGGCTGCCTGTGGGCTGCGGCGGACTCCCTACACCTGCAGGGCTGCCTGTGGGCTGCGGCTGACTCCCTGCACCTGCAGGGCCGGCTGTGGGCTGCGGCGGACTCCCTGCAGGAGTCCTGACTCCTTACAGTCTGCAGGGCCAGGGACCGGGGCTGTGGGCAGGGACAGCCCGCAGAAATGCACCTGGGCTCTCATGGGACGTGAGACGACCGTGAGGAGGAGCCCGCCCTAGGAGATGACGTGACTGAAAACTGCCCAGCACCCGAGGGACAGTGCCCTGGCCCCTCCCACTTGGAACCCTGGCTCCTGGGTTTGCTTCCTATGATGTCATCCTGTCCCAGGGAGAGATGATGCAACCACCAGTGTTTGCTTTTTCAGGTGGGAGGAAGTCACGTGGGGCATCTGATGTTGAAGCACACACAGCTCTCCCAGGCCTTGACGCTGGCTGCCAGGATGGGCTCTTCCCTGCGGCGCTCCGCAGCACCAAGGGGGGTGGGTGTCCTGCCTGGGGTGTGGACTTGGGGTGCTGGGCACCCGCGGTTTTGTCGTGAGCCCCCTGTGCTGGATGGCCAGGGCGCACCCCTGAGTCCTTGTCTTGGGTTATCCACAGCATGCAGCAGCACCCAGAGATGCCAGGGACTGACGCGGGGGGAGCAGGGGAGTGACGCGGGGGGAGCAGGGGAGCCTCCCGCACCTGCAGGCCCCTGTCAAGTTCCAATTACCACCGTCTTAAATGTCACCGTAGGTGGAAAAAAAGGCTCCCGGGAGCTGGACTCCCTGCCGCGTCTCACTTGAAAGACAGGCTTTGTGACGGAAAATTTCACAGAGCCAGTCGGTGCCGGTGCCTTCCTTACCCTCAGAGTAATTGTCTTAGCCGCATCGCCTAGGAATGCTTTGCAAACATCGCAGGGATGCAGGAGACGGGACAGGCAAGTGGCTCCCATCAGAGGCATTCAAAGAGCAGCTTTGACAGTAATGGAAACCCCTTCTCTTTTGATTTTCATTTCCCCGTGCACTGACTGCCCTGAGAGAGATTCCTGAAAAGCCGTGAGCGTGCAGAATCTGCCTGCATCTTGAGATTTGCCGCTTGATTTACGACATGGAGTCAGCGGCCACCTTTGTTTCAGGCCGCAGAATCCTGCCTCTGTGGTGCCTGGGAGCAGCGGCGCTGTTGGGACGGGGCGCCCTGAGGCTGGACTGAGGCCGTGTGGGCGTCCAGTCCTCGTTTCTCCCTTTTGGTCAACTTCCATCCCAGTGTTGCCCAGCCCTGCAGGTGGGGTTGACCAGATGTCCCAGAGCTCTGCCCGTCACATGGTTGCCTGGTTGATGCATTGCTTTGTTCAGTAGACTCCCTGAACCTGGGCAACCAGAACGGGCTGCTGTGTTAACACCAGGTGACCCAAGTTCTTCATATAGATATATATGATATCTATCTATCTATCTAGGGACCCTGTTGCCGAACAACACCCCAAACTGGTTGGAGGTGTTGCTGTAGAACACCCCAGACTGGGTCCGCTCGCCCAACACACAAAAAGCCAATCACGGACTTGGGGGTGGAGGGAGGGAGTAGGTGTCGATCACAAAGCAGCAGGGCAGCTCTTGCTTGATCCCCGGGCTCCCCAAGGAGATGTACAGGATTGCAGCCAGGGCTGAGAGGGGCGTGCTCAGCTCATGTCCAGTCCCGGCTGGTCACAGGTGCTGTGTTCTGTAGGGAAGTTATGGTGCCAAATGGGCTCCAGCTGAGCCAAGGTGAAGTGCAGCTGGAAACCACATACTGCTCAGAGCTGGACTTCTCTACGCGAACTGCCCTGGAACGACACTGGCCATCACGGCTCTCAGGATTGGAGAAGCAGATGACCCCTGAGTCCGGTGATCAGAACCCTGTAAGGCCACCTGGGTCACTCCCTTAAGTCAGCGAATTCCTTTTGATAAAGGCCAGGCAAGGACACCTTGGGCTAAGGGGGACAGACAAGAGGCTGGGTCCTGCTTGTACGTTATAGAGGTTCGGTTTCAACACCACAAAAACAATTAAAATAAATGGCTGCTTCCCATGATGCTGCGTGCCCAGTAAAAACTCCACAGCTAACTTTCCGAGTGCTTGTCCAGGAGACGGTTTGATGTTTGCATTTTTACTATTCACGTGAAAATCGCTTATTAAGCAAACCACCTACAAACGCATGGGAAGGGAAACTGGTTAAAGTACTTAGGAGAAAAAAATCGACTTTGAAGTTCCTCCATACGCATGCTTGGTATAAGTTTTACTGTGTCCTCTTGGACGAGTTGGAGCATTGATTTCATGTTTATGGGTCTGCCAGCAGGGCCTCTGTACTGGAGACAGGGAGGGACACGAGAGGTCGGAATCAGAGCACGGTCAAGTTTTAGGTGGGACTGGCACTGCAGCGGGCGTGCACACGCGTGATAAACCAGACATGTGTTCAAAGACGCGGCCCTGGAGAGCAATCTTGAAAAGCAGGGGTGAAGAGCACCACAAGCTTGGGTCCCGACGAGGAACCACAGGTGGTGCCCGGCCGAGGCCACCCGGAGCTTGTCAGGCCAGGGTCCTCGCAGCGGCCCTCGTGGGAGGCTGTGGCCCTGGCAGGGTCTCCTGGGACGTTTCCCTTCTGTCCCTTGCGCATGAGAAATGTGTCCGCAGAAATGTGTGCACAGAATGTTCTGCGTATCCTGCCAGCTTCATTTCTCCATGGGGCTGACACTCGCGACTCCAGGTTGGGTTTGATGGCCTTCCCCGTCATTTACAATATCAGCTGCATCCTTCGTGTTGCCCGAGGGGCTGTGTCGCACTCTTGCAGCCCTCGTTCCAATTCCCCAGATCGTTGCTGATGGGGCACCCCGGCCCCGGCCGCCTTTGATGTCGCTCCGACGTCGACAGCCTGCGTCCAGGCCCTTGCTCCGCTCTGCATTCCGGCTGCCTGTCCACGATGGCTCCAGTGCGTGGGTCCCTGCACCCATGTGGGCAACCTGGGTGCAGTTCCTGGCTCCTGGCTTCAACCTGGCCCAGCCCTGACTGATGTGGGTGTTTGAGGAGGGAGCCAGCAGTTGGGAGCCCCACCCCGCCTTTCAAACACACGCTTTTAAATTTTTTAAAAAATATGCAATTTCACCTTTTTTTCCTCTTCCTCGCCAGCCTTCGCGGGAAGTCGGCCCTGAGCATGAGCAGGCCCTGGACAGGGAGAGGACGTGCGGATCTGCTCCTGACCCCTGTGCTAAGCTTGGTGTCGCTCCCCTCTGCAGTGCCTCCCTCTGTGAGACTCAGG